GGGGGGGGGGGCACAGAATGAGTCAGACCAAAACAACACTGTTCCTCTGTGTCGTTCGTTGTCTTACACTGACACCTCACTGTTCCTACACAGGTTAGAGGGAGAACCAACGTTTGACTTCAGGGTTCAGTCAAACGCAAAGATAGTTTTCCTCTGTTGACCTCAAATTAAAATATAATAATAATAATAACAAAAACACTCAATTTCCATTGGTACATATAAAGCACATCTTTAGCTAGTTTTAGGCTAAAAATTAGTTCTAAATCATTGTATTTATGCATTTTTTGCCTCCATTAGCCTTACGATTAATTCAGTGTTTTTTTATTTAAAATAATATGCCTTCCTAGAACTAGTTAAAAAATAATAATAAATCTTAAATATTTACGATAAAACACTGATTAAACAGATTTGTAGCAGTTACTAACCCTCACAGCAGCTGTTTTTACCACCGTTGTATTATTCCTATAAACAGCACAGCTGCAGGTTCAACCTGGAACTCTGAAAAAAAAATGATGCCTTTGGAAAATGTAACTTGTTTACCCAGTAACAGTACAACAACAGAGGAATAAGGAGTAATACCTGCCTGACCGTCCCCGTGTTAAGAACAAAAACACAGAAGTACACACTGACCACTTCCCTCCTGCGCGGTCCACCAGCTCGCTCCGTGTCCTCTGGTCAAACTCACCAGGACAAACAGAATAAATACACATGCGTATGAAAATATAAAAAACACAAAGACAAAGCCCTGTGTGTTGTGTGGACGTCACTTGCAAATATTTGGAAACAATAAAAACACCAACACTAACTGACCACTTCCTTCTCTGGAGATGGAGAAGTGGGTTTTTTTTTAAACAAAAAAAAGCACTGATCTTAGTGGAAATGTAATGTTACAGTTGATCTTTGTTCACAGTAACTCCACCTGAACATTCAAATCAGAAAGACAGTACAGTCCAACAAATGAAAGCATTGCTTCACACGCTATCTATTTGAATGAAATGGAGGAAGATTCAGTACCATATATTCTAAATGCCACTGTGTATTTCTTACATGCAAATACTGTTCCTCCATGCAAAACCACCAGTACTTCCTGTGGTGACCTGACAGCTCATTGGAACCAATCGTATAAAACAAGCAATCCACTCCAGTTCCTTCTCAACCAACACAGCATCCGTGTAATATTTACTATACAAACATCAGAGTGGGGGACGGCCCAGCTGTTCACGCAATCAACCCAAGTCAAGGTTTGAACAAGTGGACAGAAAAGTGGATTTGATGTGATAGTGATCCAGAGGCATTACTTCTGTTCCACTCACCGTGGCTGCAGGGTGAAGGGCAGTCGCAGCACTCTGAGCTCCGGTCACTGAACAGCAGGGTGTGTGGCTCACACACACACCATTGTAGTCGAGGAGAAACCTGATCTGCTCCGACTGTACTGTCAACTTCTGACTGTGGACTGTGGCACGGTCTGTAGAACGGTGGCACTAAAGCAAGGCAGACAGGGAGGGAGGGAGGAGGAGAGAGAAAGACGTGAGGAGGGAGGGTTTATGATGGACAAATATGAGGACAGGAGGGGAGAGAGGGAGTGAGAGGGAGGTGGGAACAACAACACAGAACATCCTGAAAGTTTAAGGAAACGTCAAATGACGTTCATGGAATCTGATCTGGTTTTATGTATTTGAATGTGTGGCATTCAGTCTGCACTGGACACAGTGTGGGCTTTAAAAACTAAAGCTGTGTGATTAATCATGATTAATCAATAAAAAAAGGCCAAAATAATTTTCCCCCATAAATTATTGGAAAAGAAAGACAGGTTACTGGAAGTTACTGTCTTTATCTGTGACTTTTTCCACTGGGAAAAAGAGTGACTACAGTATATAGTAGATAATGAACCTGGTACACCAGCCTCAGATCACTGTGACAGAGAGACTCTGACAAATAGGAGGGCAGATAAGACATTTGCATAAAATGAAAGAGGATCCACTCCATTACCACACACTAAACGTCCATATTCCACTGATGCATGTTAAACACAAGTTCACCCACATCGTCACATGACAAGGTTAAGAAACATGGGAATTTCAGTCATCAAACCAAACAAGAAAAAAACTGACGGTCTTTCATAGATGGTGTTTTTAATTTCCAAGAGAACATTTGAAGAAATATGAAAAACTGTTTTGCATCATTTAAACTGTAGACTATGTTTTTGTTTTGTTTCTGGCCAGTTTTTTTTTTTTTTGATGTTTTAAATGTGGTCATTTTAATAATTATAGTCATTACAAAAAACCCATAAAAGACTTTGACTCATTCCGTTTTGTATTTCATGTTATTTTTAGTATATTTATTTTATAAATGTCTGCAAAAAAAATGCTCTTCACCCGCTACTGCTGTAATGCGCTCTTTGAGGCCCCCTGCTGGCAAAATTAAGAGTTGCCAGATCAACCGGCCGTGTCACTGAAACCCAAGCGGGTGAAGAATATTTTTTATATTATGAGATGAAGACTCCTAAATGTTAAAATAAAATCACTTTATTCCTGCGTAAATAATGTAAATATTACGGTAAATGTTTGAAGTGTTTTACAAAGTCAATTATCCCAAAGTGTAGTGTCCCAGCCCATTCTTGTCGCACTCCTCCTCACTTGGCTCGGGTTTACAGAACGTTTACCTGTTTGTGTCCGATATCTCCACGTTGGATTTTGTAGACTTCCATCTGGTTGGAGTCGAGTTTTTATTTTCTCCAATCTTACGGTCCATGACTGTTGGTTTTCACACTGGGAGAGCAGATGTAAAAAGCTCAACTGAAGAGTTCTCCGGTGACACACATTGGTCTGATTAGAGGGGCGTGGCCTAAAGTAAAACTTTAAACTTAGTGCCGCATGTACTATACTTTCTCTTAAACAATTTCTTACCTTTTTTAAAAAAAAGAGGGGGAGAAGACACAAGTAGAAGATAGTAGAGCGGTGAAGAAGAGTAAAAAGTACTAGAAAAACATGTATTAGGAAGTAGAACCCAAAAGTAGAAAGAAAAGAAAGACGTTTAGAGAAAGTGACTTTAAAAAAAGTTAAAAATAAAAATGGGGTCAAAGATGCAAGTAAAAAAAAAAGTAGAAAAAAAGAAGGAAGTAGAAGACAAAAGAATGAAAGTGTAGAGGTAGTAGGAAAAATAAAGTATCTTTCATGTGAAATCCTAAAAATACTTCATGACAATTAACTCAAAATACTCCCTGAATGAGTTTGAATGTTTTGCCAGGATCTAAAAACCACCATTTCAGGAGACACTCCACAGAAGAAAGAAGAAAACTCTGAGGCAGACTTTCTTTTCTCTGAATGTGGTTTTTTTATTGTTTTTTTTTTCAGTGCATCTGATGGTTTCTGATCGACCACAGACCTACAACAGCAGAGAATGGCTATCAAATGTCTCTTTAACATATTCAACCACTGTAATAAACAAAGCCGGGGCGGCCGGGAGCTGCAGGTTAAAGAAGAACCAAAGTAATGGAATGACTGTTTATTAGCTGAATCAACTGAATCAACAGACTCCTCCATATACTATCGTACAGGCGGCTGGGACCTAAACAGAAAATGTTCTTACATAGAAAAATAAATACAGTTTGCTAAATGAAGGAAAATTCTTTTATCAGTGATTGTACCATTAAAAATCACGTTAAAAAAAAGTCTTAAGAGGCTTTTACATCTCTTTACATAAGATTGAGTTTTTTTCCCATAACTCTAAGGAGGAATACATACATAGAATAATAACTCTTACAGAAATGACTGGCTAAAATATACAAGCACAGACACAAAGTAAAGCCAAACAGAAGGGTTCTTTATAAAAACAGAAAACAGCGCAGTGTAACATTTAAAGACTCTTTACATGGAGCTCCTTGGTCTGCAGCTTTCTTCAAATGTGATTAAAAATATTTCTGGGAAAACTCGTGGTTTTTACAAAAGTTGTTTTTTTTCCCACCTTGTATTTTACAATCCAGTCAAAACTTCTTTTTTTTAAATAGTTTGAGTAGCAAATTAGAGAAATGTACGGTAGTTACTGTATGTTCTTCTGTGAGTTTTTATTTCAATACAAATAAACAGTTTTGCAACGACAAGACAGAGGATTCAACACCAGACGCTGGATGAAGATTTTGGAGGTCAATTGATTTTTTCAGTCAGTCAGGTTGTTTTGGACTCTTGGAAAAAAAGGTCAGAGAACAGTTTAAAAAAACAAAAAATAAAATAAACAAACAAACAAACAAAAGAAACACTAGCCTTGTTCTAGCACTAAAGCTGATGGACCATGTGATGACCATGTGACACCTGACACAGATAGATGACACACCAAGCAGAGACGTACAGGAAAGTTATTACCATCACAGAAAGAATGATCTAATAGCAAATACTTATACATTATTATACTGCAGAGTTCAGATGGTTTACACTTCTCACATTAGCATTAATAAAAAGGAGAAAAAAACAAAACAAAAAAACACTGTCAATGCATACGAAAAATAGACAAAGAGTTTAATAGAGTGTAAAACAGTGCAAAGAATAATTTGGGGGCTGTGTTTGTTTGCTTGCCTGTCTGTGTTTTCTCTTCAGAAGTTGTTTACAAAAGAAAAAAGAAAAAAAAAGAAAAGGAGAAAGACTGGTCTGTAGTGTCTGTTGCTGTGGTCCAGACACGCTGCTGCTTCGCCTCCTCTCTCCAGTACCTCAATCTGTGTCTGTGTGTGTGTCTGTACTGATTGTGTGTGAACATGGGTGCGTGTGTGTGTATTTGACAAAGAGAGAAAGAGCAAAAGAGACAGAGACAGAGAGAGAGAGTGTGTGTGTGTGTGTGTGTGTGTGTGTTTAAGATTTAGCGTAGTGGTTCTCAACTCCGGTCCTCAAGCTCCGGCACTGTACAGGTTTTTGTTCCAACCAGGTCCTACAAAAACAAATAATTGAGTTTTTAAAAAGCGAGTGTTGAGTTTTGATACTATGAGTGCACACAGTTTAGATTTTTTTTTCTTCTCTGCAGCCTGTAAAAACATAACTTCAGCAAGTTCAAGCTCTGAGCCCTTCCCTCCTGTGACATGGAACACAACAGAAAACAACGAGGTACGTCTTAAAATCGTACGCTTGAGACCCGAGGTTGGAACAAGAACCCACCGTTACTGTCACAGTGACGAGCACTTTGGTATCAGGACAGGCTATCGTTGGCCCACACACAGCCTGGGTCTCACCGCAGGACTAAGAGGACTGAGCAGATAAGGGCCGAGGCCGAGGACCACCGATCGCCTGCAACAGTGTGAGGAAGCGAGAGCGGCCTCTGCTGCACCTAACCTCTCCTGGTCAGCTTTCAACTGCTTTCTCCAATCACTTTCCTTCTGTCTTCAAAATAAACTTTACATATAAAAAACCCCCACAAAAACAAACTATACTTAATTTAACAAAAGTGCTCAAGGCTGTCCTGCCTGACTCCTCTCGCTAACACGTAGTCTCAGGTAGGACACAGTAGGTTTTTTTTTTTAAGAACTGAGAAGCTGGGACTTGGGTACTCTACTGAGATGACTGGGAGTTGTCGTTCTTGCTCTCCTGACTGGAGGGGGCCTTGTTGTTCCAGGGAGACTGTGAGCCCAGTGCAGGTGAGCTGTTGAAACTGTCCTCATCCTCCAGGCCATTCGCACCATCGTACTGCGTGTTTTCCAGTCGCGTGATCAGACGTTCGTCCTCGTCACCAAACTCCCCTCCCATCAGAGTGGGCTCTCCCACCATCATCACGTCCTAAAAGGGACAGCAAGGGCCGGTACATATTATCCCCATTATGCAGGGGGGTGCGCGGAATGACTGGCTGCACGGATGTGTTGTATTCAGCGTGGTTTCATTGAATTGTTTCACATAAAATTTCAGTAAATAACATGATGAGAATTTGGGGCATTTTTGTTTTTTTATCATGGCTTCAATGTCCTTCATTCAGAACCAAATTACAACAGGACAAGACATGAACAGTCTCGTCGTCCAAGTGGCCCTGACACCAGAGGCGGGGTCAGGGGGCCCTCCCTACTGGCCAGCAGTGGGCATCCCTGATCCTTGAGTGCTACATCACGGGGGACAAAGGATGGGGGGGTTTCATTCCACCTCGGGTCTCATGCGCTCAATCAAGCAACCAAGTAAACAAAGACGGCAGTGCTGTGTGAATCATGTGCTCTGATACTTGGTCGTTAATGGAAAAACCCACAGAATACAGAATTCAGAGAGAAAAGCCAAACTCCCCTACTGGACCTCAGACCAAGGAAACCCAGTCCACAATCCCAAAATACCATGAGCATTGATTAAATACATAGTGTGTATCAGTAAACCTGTGGGCCCAGAGGACCAGGGACTGCCCATTACTGGTTCACATGAAAAGATCTACCACCTACATCTTCATCCCCTTTCAAATAAGAGACAACAGAAACTAAAATGTGTTGATTTCAGCAAAATAACAGAAAAAGACTTAAAGTCAGCAAAAAAGTAATTTTATGTCTTAATCAAAAGAAATTAATGCAGGCAACACACTGGATAAAACTGGGACAGAGGCAAGTTAGTACTAAATAGGTTGTGTGAATAACACTGTCAGTGTGACAGAGGCAAGTTAGTACTAAATAGGTGTGAATCGTGTGAATAACACTGTCGGTGCTTCTCTAGTAGGTTTGGACATGACTGCAAGGTAAGATGGGAAATGGTCATGTTTCTGTGGTACGCTTGCCTCTGTCCCAACATCTTTAGTATAATTTAAGTTTAATATTGAAGAGAGTTTTATTTACAAAAAGAATTAAGTTGTTATCTAAAAAAAAAGTTCTACTGTAGTCATCACCCAGTGATTAATCTAAACTTCCTGTAGCCACCCCCACACCCGTATCCCCTAACCCTGTTGCTTAGAGACTTATGACTCACTTAGAGACCAAACCCACCAACATTTACAGAAAACTAAATAACTGTTTGTCCTTGTTCTCAATCCCCGGCCCCTTCAGAAGCAGACAGAAGTGAAGTAGGTGTAATGCTTACAGGTACCTGGCTGGAGAGTGAGAAACTGTTGGCTGGACTCTTCTTTTTGCTGTTGCTGTTGTTGTTGCTGCCTCCACCAGAGCTCACTGTGCTTCCGCCGGACACCTTCCTTTTCCGTCTCTTGTTAGGAGCTTGTCTGGCTGGTTCAGCTACAGAAAAAGAAAGAAAAAAAGGTCTGTCATTTATTCCTGAAGCATCCAAATCTTTTTGGTGCCCTGTCACATGAGGATTGGTGGGAATTCAAATGGTCAAACATCAGGTTGTACCTGGAGGTGCAACCATTCTTTGCCACTTTTGGAAGAGGCAGGTCTTCAGGCAGTCTCTGGGGCTCAAGCTGTAGGTTTTATGTCTGGACATCAACTCTTGCATGGGCTCCAGAATCACACAAAGCTTTTAAAAAAAGACAGAGAAAGCAAGGTGTGAAAATGATTCACTTCTGTTGTTACAGTTCTGTTGTAGTCAGTAGTAGTCTGTTAAATTTAGTTTTTTACTCAAAGGTTTTGCTTACACGGAGGTAGTTGAGTGTGGAGTTGGACAGCCCACATCGAGTGATATTTTTAGCCAATTGATCGAGCATCTGTGGATCCTGTTTGAGGGAAAAACAGGGAAACAGTATTAAGGCCAGTGGGAGGAAAAGTATCTGGTTTTCTTTGTGGACTCTGAGACTCACATGCATTGCTAAGATGCTCCTGGGGAGAACCTCTCTGTGTTGTCTGATGCTGAAGTGCCACGTCTTGATCCTCATCATATCATCAAACATGAACTCCAGATACAGACGTCCCTCCACACAAACCTTACCCACAGCAACAGGATCACATATTAAAAACATTGTAAAGTCAACAGCAGGGGGAGACATTGTAAGGACATTAGCCTTACCTGTGTGAACATAGGTTTGCCGTTCTGTGTTACCATGGTGCACTGATCACAATCCAGAGACACAAAGTTACTGTGGAATGACTCCTTGGGATGTTTCAGAACATAGAACAGCTCAGTGGCGCCACCCTCGAAAATACTGCGAAAGTAGCGTGGTATCAAAGTCCTGCCAATGGCTGAAAAAAAAAGTTAACATTAAAAGTTGTTGTACAAACACAAAATACAGAATTGAGTTTACAAGGTCGTTTTTTTACAAACTTATGAATCTACAAAAGATCGCAGAATCTTACTGTATCTCTTGGGTCCGTCCTCAAGACAGAAAGTGATGGTAAGCATGGCGTCATCCTCAAAAAACTCTGTGGTGAATGCATCCCACCAGAGATTGTCACAGTCCTGAGAGTGGAAGAACCAAGCAGAAGCCAGAAGCCAAAGTTAGAGAAAACATCAAGTTAAAGCAAAAAAAAATCCTATTAAAATGTGAATGCAAGTGCTTTAATGCCCGACAACTACAAACACACTCATTATTTTCTTACACCTCATTTAATTAGCTGCAAAAAAACAAATCACCAGTAGTCACAAAGGACTTGAGATCACTGCAGACAACAGCTTTGCCACAGCAGCAGCCAGCTCTCTCACCTCTGTCCAGTTCTGTAGTCTTTTGTTCAGTTCATATATCCTGTAGTCTGTCTGGTTCCCATACGGTGTTGGTCTCCTGGAAGAGAACGCAGCGTTTAAACACCTCTGAGGTGTAATGAACTGCTTGGCTCACAATTCCAATCGGCTACTGAAAACCCGTTTGAATAGTGTAGTGTAGCGTAGTGAATAAGTGATGCATTTTCCTTGAGAACAGAATGCATTGTTTACATAGTGGACATCTTCAACTCCTTCTCATTGTGAGTGTTATATCAGTACTTACCCCATTCCAGGCTCCATGTACGACGGGGGATACATGGGTGAAGGCCTGAGAGGGTTAAAAATATAACATATTAGAGATGGCTGACTTCTTCTAATTAACATTCTTACTCAAGAACACATTAATAAAGTACTTCTCAGGTGTCACAGCTGGAATCATGTGGTTTTATTATAGAAATGTTATTAATGTGGAATTAACATTAGGTATAATTGATATAACAGGAGAACACTTAGTGTAAAATGAAAAACTAATTAATTGACTAAATGTAAATATTGTTCTATTCTGGTAAAACACATACAGTTAAGAGACAGTTTGATAGATAGTCTTTTACAAAAACAAAACAAATTAATTGCACAGTGAAACAACTGGCAGCAGATGGTCCTTGGTGAAAATAGTCGGACCTACCCCACATCTCTCTCCAGCATAGCGCCTGGATGAAAAGGGGGGAAGCTGCCGCCGTTGGGGGGCTCCTTAGGAGAGTACAGCTTGAATGACTTTGACGAACAGCCTGCAGACAAGCACAGAGAAGCAGAACAGAAATTAAATTTAACTGCAGCCTGTTCAAATCTCTCTAATAATCTCACGTGGGATGTTTAAAATAAAATTTAGCCATGTAAAAAGCACGCTGCCAAAATGATTTCTCACTGCTTTCATTATCTAATGCGTCTTCAATCTGCTAAATGGACAGAAAAAGGGACAAATCATTGTCTTCACAAGAAAAAAAAACTATATTCCTACCAAAGAATCAGGCGAAAAATAATTAGTATAATGGGGGACAAGGACAAGGTGGCCTGACCTGTTCTCTGTGTTCTTGTACCATCTGTATTAGCAGGAAACTGTTCACTGCATACAATCCCATGTGATCCTTCACATGCTGCTAATGCCTGTCGTTTCTCCCCCTCTGGTTGCCCCTCTAACCCATCCCCCCATCCTTTCCCCCAGTCCGGCTGTTGTTAACCTTTATCTACCAGGACAAAGCATTGGTGTTTGAACATCACATGCCATGGGAATAAATTAATCTCAGTTTACGCCCTCACTCCATCATTTGATTTTTCATACTGTACATTGTTGGTTGTTTTTTTTCATACTAATGCTATGCTACAGTATGGACATGTTTTATCAGCAATAGTTGTAGGTATTACTGATACTGACTACTTATTTCTTATGTGTTTGTCTTGTATGAAACCAAAAGGACTCCAACAATTAATCAATTAAAACAAAACATCAACAACCAAACAAAAATGGAACCAAGCAGCTGGTCTAAACTAGATTAAGTTCATTTAATAAATCAACTCTCAGATAGTAACTGTGGTGTAATTGTAGCTCTGATCTTATTTACAGAGTCCTCATCTGTCCCTTGAACTTCACCGCAAATGATCACAGCATCTCTCGTCTGTGCACCAGCTGCAATTTATGGCATTTACAAAACATTTCTAATCTTCTGTTACTTCTGTTCTCCTCGATGTTTGTAATTGTATGGGCTTAGATCTCACAGACTGCTGCTGCTTCATCAACGAAAAATATGCACCAGCAAACTAATGCTCAAGAAAAAATAACATACAGAAACCGATCCCCCCAGCTGGTCAATCTATCTAGCTTTCCTTACTGAATGCTGAAAATGGTTTTGAGGAGATAACAAATAGATGTTGTGCTTATCTGTGTCTGACAGTTTCTGCCATGGCTGAACGGTCATTTTTCAAAGTTCTACACATAGGTTTATTTCGAGAGAAACATAAATTGGTTCGATGTGGGACAAGCTGGGTTTCATTACGACTGTGCAAACTCGGAGCAGGCCCTCCTCCTTCAACGCCTCCTTAATTTACTTTTATCCTTTTCTTCCATGTCTCAGTTTACCCCAGAGAGTCAGGGCAGGTCATGTTCTCCTCCCCATTAGTGAGGAGAGGAACCTGTTCAGGAGCATCTCACAATGGTTCTCTATGCGTTACCTCTGACCTACACACCTCCCCCTTCAAATACAACCAGCTATTAGTCCCAGACACAATTCAATTCCATGAAAAGCCTTTGTTCAGTCTTACAGAACAATATAAATTATTGCACACAGTGGTCTATGTCCTTGCCATTTTTTTCTGTATCATATTTGTAGTAGCTTATTTTAAACGATATAAAAATAAACATCACTGAAATTTAACATTTGCATCTAGATTTTTTAAAAGTGCAAACTCCTTAAACCATTATATTCTTGCCATTATAATTTTTAAAAAATGAGACAGTTATGAGAAAAAAAATGTTTATATCATGCAAAACAAATATAAATGACATATCAAGTTCCCCATTTTTTGTGGAATAATTCCTGATTGGTGCTGTACCCTGTTGTAAACTTGACTGATGTGACAACCTGCAGCAGTGAATTGAAGTTACACTGCATTGATCAAGTTAAATGTGCTACGTTCAATGGCAAAGTTTTGCAAAATCAAGTGCCCACAACATTATTTAAAGCAAAGTGGAAGATGATGCGTTGTTGCTTTTACAAATAACTGTGAGAGACAGAAGTATATAGTGTTTTTGGCTTTCACAACAATCAAATGACCTGAACAGCACACAGAATAGCTGATTTATGCAAAGCTGCATGGACTCCATCAAAGGAATGTGGCAGCTTATCAGGCCTGGCAGTGTTTTTCCACTGTTCCATTGTGTAATTTTAGTGACCCATACAAACTGCAGTCTCAGGTTTCTGCTGTTAGCTGACAAAACTGGCAACTGGTGTGGTCTTGAGCTGTGGCCAGAGATAGGTTGGTTCTTTCTTCTACCACTGTCAATAACATTTTTGACAAAAACAAAGGCTGCCAGGTGTACATCATTTTCAGATAAGAGTGTAAGGTAATATAATAAATACAATTGTACGTTATAATCCTTAAAATCAGCTCAGCTGTTCTTTGTATTGGTTTGTTATTCTGAGTTTTGGTCTAATGGTTGCAAGGTGGTATTTTTCTGTTAGTCTGCACTAACGACGGAGAAAAAAACAGAACTAAAAAGTCAAGATGGTTATAAACAATGATTAAAAAGACAGAAAAAAGACAGCAACAGAACATGTTTTAACACTCAATTGACTTGTTGTTGTGATATTACCCACTTTTTCAAATGCATCTTACACTTTAAGCATACAAGGACATAATTCATCACTTGTAGATGAAACAGACTTGTATCCCTGCAGGTTAAAGGTGAACTATAAAAAAATAACTGGCGTCAGATGTATCCATGGTTGCCTTAGAAATACTCGACTGCTGAACATTTAATGACAGCTACCATCCATCATGGTGCATTACAGCCTACATCATTAGTCGGTCAACAAAAACGTAGATAATTTCTCTTCTTTGACATTTCTATTTTCTACAATATAGAAAACGGATCATTTAAAACCAGACGACTTCTGAGCATTGCAGCAGAGTGTATGTGTAAATGAAGTCATCTGGTGTGGTTTAGTCCGCTCAAAGTGTTCACAGTGAACAATGGAGCAGCTCCAGAGACTGGCCTCCAGCCAAGTCATCCACAGTGATCTGCCAACACTTCCATCACTGCCGCTCTGCTCTTCTGCGTCATACGTTTGCAGCTCGATCGCACGATGTCTTTACAATTCAAAATAAACATGTCTTTAATTAACGCACGGCACCGGTCGAAAAGTGAACCTGAGGGCCGCACTCGGTATATGCCATAGCTAAGCTGTTAACCTATTTGGTCTACTATCGACAAACCCTCCATGAACTTTCAGCATTTCCGTGGGGTTGTTTTCGTTCACTTTAAGTGTGCTATTATGAAGCAGCGGAGCGGCATAGAGTTGGAGTTACCTGCAGAGAAGGGTGAACAGAAACTCGGTGTTGCTGGAACACCTCGGGTCGCTGTTTTCTAGTCCGTTAGCTTCGATGCTAATCGGAGCGGCTGTACGGGGAAGAAGCTCCAATGGCGGTACGACCGATTAGCAGCGTAGTCCAACGGTCCCAAAACAGGACGACGGCGAACGACTGAGAGTTAATGTGCAGCCGCCGGTACTTGCCAGTCCGTGGGCCTGCAGTAGAATTTCTAAAATGTCATTACTCGGTGTTACGGCGGTCTCGCTATACCACTGTTAAACTTGTTGTTGTGATATTTTTCAAATGCATCTTACACTTTAAGCATACAAGGACATAATTCATCACTTGTAGATGAAACAGACTTGTATCCCTGCAGGTTAAAGGTGAACTATAAAAAAATAACTGGCGTCAGATGTATCCATGGTTGCCTTAGAAATACTCGACTGCTGAACATTTAATGACAGCTACCATCCATCATGGTGCATTACAGCCTACATCATTAGTCGGTCAACAAAAACGTAGATAATTTCTCTTCTTTGACATTTCTATTTTCTACAATATAGAAAACGGATCATTTAAAACCAGACGACTTCTGAGCATTGCAGCAGAGTGTATGTGTAAATGAAGTCATCTGGTGTGGTTTAGTCCGCTCAAAGTGTTCACAGTGAACAATGGAGCAGCTCCAGAGACTGGCCTCCAGCCAAGTCATCCACAGTGATCTGCCAACACTTCCATCACTGCCGCTCTGCTCTTCTGCGTCATACGTTTGCAGCTCGATCGCACGATGTCTTTACAATTCAAAATAAACATGTCTTTAATTAACGCACGGCACCGGTCGAAAAGTGAACCTGAGGGCCGCACTCGGTATATGCCATAGCTAAGCTGTTAACCTATTTGGTCTACTATCGACAAACCCTCCATGAACTTTCGGCATTTCCGTGGGGTTGTTTTCGTTCACTTTAAGTGTGCTATTATGAAGCAGCGGAGCGGCATAGAGTTGGAGTTACCTGCAGAGAAGGGTGAACAGAAACTCGGTGTTGCTGGAACACCTCGGGTCGCTGTTTTCTAGTCCGTTAGCTTCGATGCTAATCGGAGCGGCTGTACGGGGAAGAAGCTCCAATGGCGGTACGACCGATTAGCAGCGTAGTCCAACGGTCCCAAAACAGGACGACGGCGAACGACTGAGAGTTAATGTGCAGCCGCCGGTACTTGCCAGTCCGTGGGCCTGCAGTAGAATTTCTAAAATGTCATTACTCGGTGTTACGGCGGTCTCGCTATACCACTGTTAATACTACTACTACCACTACTACTACTACAGCCGAGCTGCTACAGGACCCTTTGTTCCTGCCAGCCGAGATACGAACAAACAAAGGCCCCGCCTCCTCCAGCTCCTCCGCCCGTCCTGCCACACAGCCCGGACAAACTTCCCTCCTGACAGGGTTCCACCGGCAAAAGGGGACAGCCGTTTTCATGAAATAAAATTAAACAATTTCACAACTCTTTTGGACTGAATCATGCGAAAATAAAAAAAAAACATAATTTTACATTGTAACGTTTACCAGAAGATGGCAGTAATGCAACCCAGAGAATGTAAAGCTGCTGCAGGAACGTGAAGAGAAAGAAGAAGGTAGGCCAGGACAGTTAGCAGCAACATTTTGGCCATGTTACGCACTAGACTGATTAATTTTCTCTATGGTGCAAA